CTTTAATTTCATTGAAAACATGCCCTGTCTGGTCTCTTCAAATGTTGAAGCACTACATGTTGAATCTCTACCTCCTCTCACCCCTAGCTGGGATTAAATACTTATAAATACATTGCTGAATAATGGACCGAATAGGTAGGTAAGTAAGTTGTACCCCACCAGGACATCACACAAACGATAAACACCCGGTGATACAAAGTGCCACCATGTGGATGGAATCACCCCTGGAGAGGTCATGGAAACCCCGTTCAGCCGTTACGCCATATTCAAGGCTGGCAAAAGCCAGGATGGGGCTTAAAAATTACTAAAAATTGGGGACGACTGCTTAATGGGCCGAAAAGATAGTATTTTTACATGATACTAAAACGGTAGCAAATGTAACGTTGTGCTCTTCACTGACCTAAACGGGGTCCTAATGGAGCAATGATGCGCAATACAAGACTCTTAATGTCTATTAGCCTCTCTTGCTCAAGGCTACCTCACCTTCACGTGGTGGACGCTGTTCTTCCCAGCAATCCAGTTGAAGGTTGGGGTCTCAACCCCCAGCGGGAAACTGGATGGGACAACAAGCGAGGTAAAGGCGAAAGACTAATGGATGAGCCTACTCTCCTCGAGTATGATCACAGTCTACCCAAGCAAAACAAGGTGCTGAAGTCGGAGGCAACCAGCCAAGAGGCGCACCACAGCAATCAGGATGCCACGCATACACGCCATGGAAAGAAGCAGCTTTATACACCAAGCAAAAAGAATATGTAGACAAACTCCTGACCTTCCAGAAATTGGTTGCCCACTTAAAAGTATTCCGGAACAAACCCCATGGAGAGAAAAATGTAAACTAACGGTACTAATCCAGACAAATGTTAAAGGGATATTTGACAAGAAAGAGCAAGATAGTGTACAACGCAGAATGCCCACCCTCAGTTATATTGATGAAGAATACCCACAAGAACAATGGGTCAGAGTCTATACAGATGGGTGCGCAGAAAGTGCAGTTAGAAATGGTTGCGCTGGAGTGTACATCGAATTCCCAGATGGTACTAGGGATAAGTCCAGCGTACCAACCGGGAAGTACTGCCATAATTACGATGCAGAAACCCAGTCGTAATGCAGTGGATACCGTCTCATTGGGAAGTGCCTGGAAATGAGAAAGCTGATCAACTGGCAGGGGAAGGTGCTACAAAAGAGCAGCCGGATGTACCAGTCACATACCACCAAAAGAAAAGAATCATTAAGTCGATCAGGAAACCGCCAGCCCCAGCACAAGACGACTATTTTATTATGGACAGACCAGAACAAGTCATTATCCTCCGCCTCAGAACAGGGCACAACCGATTACGTAACCACATGTACACAAAATTCAAGATAGGTGTATCAGCCATGTGCACCTGTGGAAAAATTGCCCCAGACAGCAGAGCATGTACTCCAGGACTGCACCGATTTTGACACATTAAGGCAAACCTTTTGGCCAGAAAGAACAACAGTGGAGCGTAAACTCTATGGACCACTGAATGAACTAACAACGACAGTGAAATTTATACAAGAGACAAAACTGCTGATATAGACAACTTATTTCAGGTGAACGAAAGAAGAAGAAGAAGACTGACCTAAACGAATTAATAAAAAAAAAAGTATAACACTAAAAAGAGAAACGAATGAAACAGAAAACTTTGCAAAATTTAAAAGCTGGATTTATTGTTTAATTTCTATGATAAAAATACATCGCAGAATAACTTTGGACAACATAGGTTGCAAATATTACAAACATATATAAAATGGCAATATTTGGTTACGAAAAAAAAAAAAAAAAATAGACCGGCCATGAATTTGAGACTAGTGTGTGTATTAAATGAAACAATAGTAGTTTCCATCTGTTGATGGTGGTGATACAAAGATAACTGTAAACACAGTTGAATCTTTTGTGATCTTTGTTTTCTTGTTTGTTTGGCACATGGTTGCATTTAATGTTTTTGGAATATGGATTATTATCAATTAAGTTGTAAGACGCTGGTATTTCAGAGGCAATAACCAAAATAAGAATGATAATAATCATCAATGTAATCCACAAAGAAAAAGATGTAATAATAACAATATTAATCCATGTAATCCATAAAGAAACAGAATATTAATAATAAAAGTAATAATAAAAAATAATGACAATGATAGTAATAATAATAATAATAATAATAATAATAATAATAATAATAATAATAATAATAATAAGAAGAAGAAAAGAAGAAGAAGAAGAAGAAGAAGAAGAAGAAGAAGAAGAAGAAGAAGAAGAAGAAGAAGGAAAAGAAGAAGACGAAGAAGAAGAAGAAGAAGGAGAAGAAGGATGAGGACGAAAATAAAAAGGATGTGGAAGAGGTTAACGAATAGAAATTGAAGTAGGGGATGAAGACGAAGACAATGTGGAACAAGAAGGAGGAGGAGAAGAAAAAGAAAACATTAACATGACTAAAAGGAAGAGCAGAGCACATAAAAAAAACAATACAAAGACAGATTATATAATAACGACTTTATACAGTTTTACGAAATACAGTTGCACTTACATAAATAATACACATTTCAATGCAGAAAATAATACATAAATATTCGCTTCATTTTCACACACTAAAATAGTTTAACGTACAGCTTGCACCTCAGTTTCTCTTTTATTTATTTATCGTTAGGGTTCTCGTTAGTTTATTTTTACATAGTTCGCACTCGTTTCTTTCACTGTTCCGAGCTCTTTTTTTATATCAACACACGCACACATACACTCCCACATGCACTCGCGTTCACACACACACACCGAGAGTTTCAGGTCACATCCTGTAAAACTTTCAGTACCTGGAAATGTTCTGGGTAACAAGACAGCTAGAGCGATACTGACTACATCACAAATCGAGTACTGATTGATATACATATATCCAATACCCCTCAAGATGTATAAGGCATGGAAGCGAGGTATGGAAGCGACTACTTCAGATGTTTTACACAATCTACCTGCATACATATAGTATATATTTCTGCCTAGCTTTTAGTTTACCTAGCCGCCGTTGTGTTGCGGCTAGATGCTCGCCTGTTGATTCGAAGGTCGTGGGTTTAAATCAGAGCCGGATATTTGTCAAAAATGACCTTGGCTCACAGTTCGACCCAGTTTTGACTTGGTAGCAGGGTAAAGTCATGGGAAGCAAAAGTGGCAGGCCTGATGCTGATAATTGTGCCGATTGGCTTATAAAATATAGATGTAGCACTAAATGTCCAACACGCTTGACGGTGTGAAAAAGGATCATTTATCAGTCTACTTACTACCTTTCATTCATGTGCACACACATACACACACACACACACACACAAACATGATTAAAAAAATTAGAGTAAAATTGTTGTTTATCTGCAGCATGACAGCCTGAAATATTGACACCCAGTGACTCAAAGAGCCATTTTTCGCAAGCGAATCCAAATGGAGGAGCAAATCGCAGGAAACCCCCTTGGACCATATAAAATATTTAAATTGGGCCATCCTTTGGTAACGAAGTAACTTGTAGTCATGATGGACAGGTTGCTGACTAAATCGTGGGCACACAGGGGATATCTCTTAAGTGTGTCCCCTTTAGATTTGAGTTTTGTGAATAACATAAACCCAGTTCTACCCTTAAGCCATGCAGCACGGTTATACTGGGGCACCACAGGGCGCTTACAAAGCAAAATGTAGTCCAGTTTGGATGGGTTAATGGGTGTGTTTATAAAGGATGTCCCACATTTAAAAAAAACGACATCTGCTGTACTTCGCCATTCGGGTCACACATCCGGGTAGTCAGATCCTGTTGATGATAAATTACGAAAACGTGCGCACTACATTAAATAGTAATTATTACAAAATGTTTTTGCATAAACAATTATGTAGAACAAATTTATGCATACATAATCATAAAAGAACAAAAGCAATTGTATATCTTGAAATATCTGAGATCCGCATTCACTGATGGTTTACATACAACACACAAGGTGATTTATATTTTTGTTTTTGTTTTATTTTTCAAAGAAATTATTAACGTTGCCCCACCCCTTACTTCCTTTAATGTCAAGGTGCACTGTCTACTTTTGTCTGCTTACATATCTATTCGACTCTCTCATCCCTTCATTTTTGCTCTCTATCTGTATGTATATATGTATGTGTATATATATATACATATACATAATCTTTTTTATAGCTCTTCTCTCGCTAAACGTACAAAGTAAAGTAGAGAATCCCTTTCCACGTCATTAGCTGTGTTTTGCATATTGTGCTAGATCTATATTTTATAGACCAATCGGCACTCTGTGGGTGATATGATTCTCATCACGCCGACCGCCTTTACTTCTCAGGGCTATCTGGTACCAGTTGTAGCCTGGGTGGACCTGAGAGCCAAGGTCAAGCTCGATGCTTTTCCAGTATAATCGTTTTTATTTCCCAAACATAAATATAGTTGCCTAATGTTTACAAAAGCATGACTATATTGATAATTCCGCTGCAAATGTTTGTAATGAAAACATTAGGTTAGAAAAACAAATTAAAATATTAAATTTGTCCTTCTTATTGTTTATCGTCGGTTATAACAAATGATACACTCGCAGAGATAACTTATTTGTCTGCTCTTTATCCCCCAGTGGACCATAAGCCCTCAGCCAACTCACATTAGATCTTTCTATCATTTGCTACTACATGCAACTCTCCTCGTATCCTCCCAATCGTTTTTTTTAAACGTGTTAAAAAAACGTTCTACACTCTTCGGGCATGTCACGAGAAGGGGAAACACAAGTACATGGTGACAACTGGACAACTTAAGGGCAAATGAGCCAGAAGGTGGAAAGAGAGAGGACGTTTGTCATCATTGCTTGAAATTACATCAGTATCAGAAACAAACGACTACATTCGTGACAGAAGACTTAGGACATCTATGATAATCAATGCCACATGGGAAAGGCTATTAGAAGACAATTAGTCAGAAATCAAAGCAATGGTCGTAGTGTTCACTCTAGGCTCTGTAAGGAATGTTGAATGATGTCTGACGAACATAGCACACTCGGGAGTCCCTTGGACACTGGCTGAGTCGATAGCGTTGTCTGATTGAGAGCCATGGATCACTGTCGTATTCTTCCACAAGAGACCGCTCATCTCGAGCTACAATGAGACATTTCAGGATCTTAACAAAGCTGTCCCACTCTTCTTTAGAGCAATAGTCTTTCAACATGGGATTTTCAGCCTCGACGATACGCTTGGCTCTGTACAGAAATGGCGTGTTGCCTTCACGAGGAAGTTTTACCACGTCAGTAAGCTGATTCATTAGTTCTGTGATCTCCTCCTCGTCGATAGCCAACAGGGCTTTGAACAGTTTTTGTCTCATGTATTCTTGGGGGCGGGTGATTGAGCCTTCGTAGAACATGATATCAAGACGAACCAGCAATTCAACTGCCCTACCACGTAGACTTGCTGCGGCTTCATCTCTTTTCTTTAAGATGGTAGGTATGTTCTCTTCAGTGTATGGGCCGTGCATGCCTGTTTGACTGTCCATAAACCTCAGAACCTGTGCACCACCAATACCGATCCCGTCGACTCCAGCGTAGACTGCGTGTTTTATTTCCTCGAACTTGAAACCAGCCGAGAAGTAGGTGACCAATCCCTTCAGGTGGGCTTCATGGACAATCCTTAGTGCTTCTTCATATGTCAGCTGATACATGATGCATTTGGAAGGATATGTATCGCTGGCTCCATCCCAGGTGATTTTATCAAAGCCTCCAAGGGAAGTAATCATGACAGCTTTCATGGCTATGTCGATCCGTTCTGAAAGAATGACTGGCTCTTCGACCTCGTAATCATTAACGAGGTCTTGATTCAAGTTCCAGGCTGCAGACAAATATTGGGTTCTTGAACGCTGGACCTGAGCTCTGAGGGCATGCATGTATCGCATGGCTTGCGATGTAGACAGGCCTTCCATTGCAATTTTACACTCTGCTGCGCCCATGAAAAAGGCGGCAGATGCTGCAGCAGCTGTGATGTGAACGATCTTCAGGAAGTCTTCATCGAAGTTTCCAGAATCTTTTACAGCTCTGCCAAGAAAGTAGGTCGTTGGAGCTGAAGAACCTACGTGCAGGCGAACTCTGGAAAAGTCCAGCACAGAGGGAGCTCTGTAAGACTCAATGTGTTGCCTATCCAGATGGTTGGGCCGCTCCAAATGCTCAACGTGTACAATAGCACCTTCCATCCACTCGTGGAATCTTGTTGTGCCCATGACGTGACCCTCACCAGGGTCGGTTAGAGACATGTAGGTCTGAGTGTGTGGTCGGAACCCTGGTGTACCCAGACATCGAATCTGCTCGTGCCGACTCCATTTCCCATTGTGAATCTCCATGTAGGCTAAGTGCTGTGCAATGTACTCATCGGGAGTGGGCTGTCGATGCTCAACTCTCAGAAACCGCAACATGCGGCTGACGGCTCCAATGAAGTCTTCTCCCAAAGTTTCCTTTTCCCAGATAACATATGACTTTTGGTTTTCGTCATCGCTATCGATGGTGAAATAACTGGATTCCCTGGGTTTTGGAATCACCCCGACAAAAAGTTCATTCTCAGCTTCCCATTCTTTAATCACTGCCCAGCTCTCTTGGTAGAATTTCTTCAGATTACAAATGATACTGCTGCCGGTAGTCGCATGAATGATGTTCTTTCCCAGATTGGCAAACGTCTTGTAGTGTGGATCCTCCTCATTGTCAAATATGTAGCTGAGCCTTTCCTTCACTTTCTCACAGACTTCGTTTATATTGGTGATGATGTACACGGGTAGTTCAGTGTTGGATTCGAAAGGAGACGATGCACACATCAGTTTGACATGCACGTTATACAGGTTCTTCAGCGTGTCCTGCAGACAGGAGACGCCGATTTTTCTCAGCTTGGCTACACTAACACTGCAACTCATTTTCTGCGAAAGAGAAATTAACATAACATTTCACAACATTGCATTTCCCATCTAATTTAATTAAGTGACTCATTATGCAATTAAATGCAGAAAAAATGTAAAAGACGTTGTGGTTGCAAAATTAGAAACGTCTAGTAGGCGATGCAGTAACAGGTTGGTTAATGATCCTGCAAAATAAATATAGGATCACAGCACCATACTACGACTTAGAGTGTTTACTTCCATCGTTTCCGGAGAGGCTAACCCGGTCAACATATGTCCCATGAAGTCTAAAAATATCATAGCTCGGGTGCACAAGAGTCACAACTATTTTTTCGGGGTTGAGGGGGGGGGGGGGGGTGTGCACCGCACACTGCACATTCAACAAATGCCCATATAAATTAGGTATGACCAAACAGCTGCCTGCTGTGTCTTCGTGCTGAAACGACTCCAGATCACATGACTTGCAAGACTGTACTTTCCTGGAGGAGATGCATACAATATGTGGCGACACCCAGCAGACCTGACAACTAAGCTTTGGGAAAACATTAGAAACTTTGAAATGACTTTCCAGTTTATGGCCCACAGTGGATTAGACGCTTAACCAGGGGTTGCTGAAGAGGTAGAAGAAGAAAAAGAAGAAGAAGAAGAAGAAGAAGAAGAAGAAGAAGAAGAAGAAGAAGAAGAAAAAAGAAGAAAAAGAAGAAGAAGAAAAAAAAGAAGAAGAAGAAAAGAAGATACGCAGTTCAGCAGTAGAGGATACTCATAAAAATGTGTTTTCAAAATAAATGTCATGTGGAGCATATTATATAAATAAAAATGGTTTGCATTAAAAAAATTATTATTTTTAACATATATGTAAACTTCCTGGATTTGAATAAGTAAAGAATCCATTTATTTCCTCGCCTTTAACTTACCAACGGGCATTTAATGGCTAATATGGTCAGTGTCAAGCCAACCGTCTTTACTTCTCTAAGTAATTTCTGGTACCCACGTTTCTACGTCGAAATATGAGCCAAGATCAGTTTTAAAACAGCCTATAATGTCCTAGCTGGCAGCAAAGCGTGTTAGCCATATCGCTCTCCCCTCTCCCATCCTTTTTCTCCTAAAAAAATCGTAAATCGTGTAGCGAGATTGATTATTATATTTCTTCTTGGTTAGGAATGTATACATGTATGTTCTTTATCTACAATATGCCTAATTGTTATTTTAAAACCATTTAAAGAACGTTGCACATCAACACTGAAAATGTTTTGATTATTTTTGGTTTTACTAGGTAATTGTTTAGTTTGGTTGTTTGGCATATGCCTAATAGGATATGATAAAATTTACTTTGACTATTCACTTTTTCATAAATGCTTGGAATACAAATGTTATTGACCGGTTCTATTAATATCATGGGTAAAGAAAAAAACAAATGCATCCATATTTCAAGAGCTGAATACTGAAGAAATTTGGATTAAAGACGATAAAACACCCGAGAAAAAAAAAATTGAAATATTTTTGTCACTTGAAACGTCACGAAAGTTTAGAGAGAAAAGTATTGGAGGTTTACATGTCTAAGAAGAGAGAAAGAGGAAAGCCAAAGAGAAGATGGGTGTAGGATGTGGCGGATAAACTCCAGATGGGTGTTTCAGACGCGGGACATCGTGCTTGTGATCAAGAAGCTTTCCAGAAGGTTGTTCATAGAGCAATGTTCTGAAAAGGCAAGGCTACTGACTGACTGATGCGCTTACCGATGCTGCTCCATTTTTTTTTATTTAAAATATTTTTTTTTTTTAAATAAATGAAAGGAATTGTATGAATTATACATTTTTGTTTGATAAGCCGTTTCATTGTCATGAATATTATACATGACTGCCAAATCAAATTCACTTTTTTTTTCCTAAATCCCTTTACCCTTTTTGCAAATCAGTTTTGTCTTTTGCAAATCAAATGTACTCTCTTGCAAATCAAATTCACCCTTTTGCAAATAAAATACACAGACAGAAAGAAAAGGTCGCAATGAATGATTAAACGATCATTTATTCTTACCAATCACGGCTTGAGATTTCGTTCAGTAGATTAAAAACTGTTGAAGACCGTTCAGTATTGTCAAAGTCTGTCAGTAACACTCTAGTTGTTTGACTTGGATAGCAACGACTGGTGAGTTTAGTGACTGCAAGTTTTCGAATGAGTGAATTTTATAGATCCAGCGGTTATATAGGCATCCACGTTTTTGAACCGGATCCGACATTCGCCTTTGTTTTCGCCCTTCTAGGAAGAGGTCAAACGGATATATACCCTCAGCGTCGTAGGCAGTAATATTAATTCAAGTGGCTATACAATAGGGGCCGGCGACTCTTCCAAACAACAAGATATGGCCATATCCTTGAGGGCGACTTGGTGACAAAACAGATACCTGATTCTTGGGGGACATCACGTGTCCGCGTCAGCATGGGTAATTAATGAAGCATAAAATCGTTCATGACTAATTTTCCTGTATTTTGTATAAGTATAGCATTAAAGGATCAGCCATCCTAAGATACTTTATCATGCACGAAATAGTCGCTTCTAAACATTTCTTAAGTTGACTATTTCTATACTAAGCAATACAGAGGTTTTCAACGTGTACTTGGTTGTGCCTGGGTCATTTCGTGCCTAACGGTATTTTTAGTTGAAGACGTGTGTGTCGTTATATTTTGTCCTTATTTGTCTGTAAACTTCAAGTAATCTGTTTCTTTTTCTTTGTCCTTTCTTTTAATAGTGATGGATTTCAAAAGCCTGTTTGTGTTAAACATTACGTTCTCTAGTATTTACCCCCACAGATTATTAAATAACATTGTGCAGCTCTTAGAATTTTTGACAAACTTTTTTCAACTTCAAGTAATCTGTTTCTTTTTCTTTGTCCTTTCTTTTAATAGTGATGGATTTCAAAAGCCTGTTTGTGTTAAACATTACGTTCTCTAGTATTTACCCCCACAGATTATTAAATAACATTGTGCAGCTCTTAGAATTTTTGACAAACTTTTTTCAAAGCGATATGTAAGTGGTTGTCCGCGTCTGTGGCTTAGGCGTTGCGAACGCGTTTTGTAATGTCGGGATGCCGGGTTCGAACCTAACAGCGGACGGTTGTCTTGCGTTGGTTTCGACACTGGCACCGAGAATTGACCGTTTAAAAAGTAATGACAAACTACTAAAAGTACAATTTAACTATAAAACCCACAACAGCCAGGAGGAGGGCGAAGGGAAGACAAACAAGAAAGATATTGATGAATGGTGTATCTGAAACCTGCAAAGATAAACAAGTCCGCCACCTAAGCCACCCGAGAAACACAAGACACATACAGAAGACAACAACACTGGTATAAGTGAGACGACAAAAGAAGAAGAAACATTATGAAAAAGGTATCAAGTTCATGGCAGACCTTAAAAAAAAGGGTTTGCTGTAAACTTTTGTCATAGAGTTAACACCTTAACCCATAACTATGATTTAGCATGATAAAGTAAAGAGTACGCTCTCTCTTTCTCCCCCCTCCTCTATCTCTCTATCTCTATCTCTCTCTCTCTCTCTCTCTCTCTCTCTCACATACACACACCAGACACCATGAGACACACTGTGTTACGCCAGGGCCATTCGACAATTAAAAGTAAAGGTGAAGGACTCTTTTCCACGCTTTCAGGCGTTTTTGGTATATAGGGCTAGATCTATATCTTTAAACCAAACGGCACTTGGTGGGTAATATGATCAGCATCACGCCCACCGCCTTTACTTCCCAGGACTGTACCTGGTACACTCTCAAGGCTGAGTCGACCTGCAAGCCAAGGTCATTTTTGAAAAAAAAATGTTCGGCCCCCATCAGGACGCCAACCCACGACCAGGCCGCTCCTCATTAATCAGGTGATATTGAAAAAATGCAATATTACTGGGAATTTTTCACCCTTGCCTACTAAATGCTTTAAAAAAAAAAAAAAAAAAGAAAACTAATAAATAAATGTTCATGTATTGGCCGTCATTCACAAATGTAAAGTAAAGAAGCTGAAGTTAAGGACACACTACTGGTAATCTGGTAATTTTAGTTTCAGCTTCATAGCAAACGGGTCACCCCATAGTTGCTCCGCTCCTGTGCCAACGAAAAACACACAGCATTTGTATCGCAGTCCCTTGTGGAAAGATTGACAGACTGCTATCTCAGCATATGCACTAGCATACACACGCATCAGAATTGGAACTCTTCGCTTGCTGCTGAAGATGGGAACTGAGCACTTATGGAAGTGTCCCGAGTGCTGTGATGTCGATTCTTAATTCAACATTCAATTTTTAAAATGTCAAGAGACGACGTACATACGCATTGGCAGGTTCTCATCGTTTATTTTTCACTTAGCATCGCAGAGGCAAGACCAAGAAGACGATATTAGATGGTGTCAAGTACCTATTACTATTACCACCACAACGCTACACCGCCACCACTAACAACAACAACTACTGCTGCTGCCGCTGCTGCCGCTGCTGCTACTGTTGCTGCTGTTACTGATACTACTACTACTACTACTACTACTACTACTACTACTACTACTACTACTACTACTACTACTACTACTACTACTACTACTACTACTACTACTACTACTACTACTACTACTACTACTGCTATTACTACTACTAACAATCCCCTACTATAAAGGATGGTTAAAATACTTCCCGTCCTTTTTAGGATGAAATTTTGTTATTTGAAGCCCTACTCTGGCTCTTGCCAGGGGCTGCAATATAGCCTATTCATAAATATGTTATGTTATCAGTGCCAAACGTGGACAACGAACAAATCACATATGCAAAAAATAACTACGTGTGAAATGCGATGTCTCCGAAGAGTCACCAACAATACACGAAAAGACAGTCACAAACGACAGCATTAGAGACAAAGTTGGAACATGAGCATGCATGAAACATATTGAAAGACAGAGAATGAATTGGTTTGGCCATTTAGTAAGAATGCAACCGGATCAGATTGCCTATAAGGCCTTTTACAGTAGAACATCTG